GAAATAAAAATATATTTATAAATTTGAAGATTTCTTGAGTTTTATGATAGGTATATTACTAAATTTTAAATAGAGTGTTGGTATACTATTTATAAACGTGTGTGCAAATTTCGAGATCAATCAAATAATTAGATCAAAGTGTGTAAAGATTTTTGTACATTAAAAACTCAAAAATTAGACTTTGAAGGTTAGTGAGTATTTCTAAGATCTTTAGCTATTTATCAATTGGATTGAAGTAAAAAACTTTTATGTGGATACTAGACTTGATTTTCAACCTTTAGATGAAATTTGAAAGCAACTCAATGATTCAAAAAAGAAGTATTGGTACTGGAAGTTTAGAATTTAGACTGGAGTAGGAGGCTACTTAATACTTAATTGGATTATCTTGCATTTCTCTCAATTAGTAAGTGCGATCAATTTCATCTTTCTTATGCTTTTTTCTAAGTAAGATGTTAAGAAGTGTGTAAATTTTGAGCTGATATCAATGATATAATTTTTAATTGTTGAGGTTCTATTTTGCTATAGGATTTGATTTAGGATTGTCTACGATTTGGTTAGGACTTAGGATTTGGTCTAAGATTTTTTTAGGATTAGAGTTTGCTTAAGATTTGGTTTAAAACTTGACTAGAAATTAATTAGGGTTTATCAAGGATTTATCTAAGATTTAGGATTTTATTAGGATTTCATTAGAATTCGACTTAAAATTTGATTAAGGTTCAATAAAGATTTTAATTAGGATTTGATCTAAAAGTTGATTAAGATTCAATCAAGATCTTTATTTTTAGTATTTTTTAGGATTCTTTATTTTTTTAAAAGCTTATATTTTTATTATTTCTTTAATATAATTTTTATTTCTTTAAAAGTTTATTTTTATAATTTTTTAAGATTTCTTATTATTTTCTTTTTATGATTAGGTTAGGAATTCTTTGTGTCTTTTTTATAACTTCTTTTAAATTTATTTTGGATTGATCAAAGTTTAATTAGGTTTGTTAAGATTTATTTAAATTTTATTTAAGATTCTATAAGACTTAATAGGATTGTTGTTGCATTTCTACTTACTTTCCACACCTAGGTGCATAATGCATTCTCAAGCAAAAACATACATAATACAACAATGAGTTCGTTTGTTAAGTTTTGCAAGCATTTTAACTATGTAGAACTATATATTGTTTTGTACTTGAATAAATAAAAGAGATACCAATGGTTCAATGATTCTAGAGTACTCATAAACTTGGTAGTGTTTGAATCTTCAGCACATCAATATATCATTATTATTGTTCTATATTGTATATTTAACTATCACAAGCCACGGACAAACAATTAACTAAATTAAAATATTAATATGCTAAAACTATTAGAATAATATTTTTATTCAAATTTTATGTATTTATTGTTAAAGCAAATCTTTAATTTTACCAAGCCAAGGCTTTGTTGAATTAAAGATTCCATTATCAAGAATTAGAACAAGATTGGAAGGTTTTTAGATTATTTAATTTATTATATATTTAAATATATTTAAATAAAGTTTTAAAATCATCAAAAACTGTGATTTTTTATTTTAAAATATTTTGACAAGATTTAGGGTTTAGATTAAAGAGTTTATAAATCCTAAAACTTAAGACCTGAAAATTATTTAGAAATATGTTTAAATTATATAAACATATATTTATTTTAAAAATAAATAATTAAATAAATAAACTCAAAAAACTCAAAATTCAATTATTTTATATTTTTAGATGTGAAATTTCAAGGACATGAATCTAGACATAATTCAATAGACAATGTACTCATATATTAATAAAGAGAGAAGAAAGTAAAGAAAAAATAAATAGATAAAAAAAATTTAAAATTGAAAAATTAAAAAAAAAAAAAAAAAAAAAAAAAAAAAAACTACAATAGCTATTGCCAAATACAAAGAAAATGAAGAATCTAAAAAGTAATGCTCAAGTACGAAAAAAAAGTATTGATAAGATTGAGAATGGCCACATACTTGCCTCTTTAAATATTAGCTACTAAGAAGGCCTTGTAGAAGTTTTTTAAAAACTATTATTATTAGGATTTTATATTTAATTTAAATAAATTTTATAAAATAATAAATATTAATTTTACAAATAAAGTCTAATAATTATTTATATACTATGCTTTAAAGTTAAAAGATATACCTTTAAATAGAAGAAAATTTAAAGATTAAGGTTTGATTTAAAAGAAAAAAATAATAATTTAAAGTTCAATATACAATACATTTATATTTAAATTTTGTGAAAAGACCAAAAACTTTTGAAAGAAAGAATGCACAAAAGCAATAAAATAAAAACATACTTAAACTTGAAATTATTATGTTTTTTATATTTTTATTTGTTAAAATAATTATTAAATATTTAATACAAGAATATATTGCAAATTTTGAAAAGACTAGACCAAACTATATAAATAATTTTGGATATGTATTAAAAAATACAACCTTTACAAAAAAAAAAAGCCATAATTTGGCACAAATTTCAGAAAACATGTACATGATTATATTAAAAGCTGATTATGCTAAAATATTTTAAAATATCACATTAGTGTTTTTTCCCCTAAAGATTAGACAATTGCCAATAGAACCAATTTGATAATTTTTTATATAAAATTACTTTAGAACTAATTGCAATAAATATTTTGTTTATCTTTTAGTTTTTAACTTTTTATAATATATGTAATTTTCTTCTAAGGTTTTACTATGTGGCTATATATATAGATATAACCAAAAATCCATATTATAAAATTAAAATTTAATTTTAATTTCAATTAGCATGAAGATATACATAAAGTCATATTTTTTAAAAAAACATGTTTTTTTTACAACCTATATATATCTTACATACTAGATAATAAAAAACTCGTGTTGATGATTTTTGAAGACCATAAATGGTTGAATAAGTTTTGAAGTTGCCAAATGTATTTATGATAGTATTTTTAAGTCTAGTAAAATGTCATAAGATACTTGTAAATCCAACTTATATTTTTTTAAAAAAAATTGTTTCTTAACAATAATGTTATTTATCTTACATATTCCTTTTAGCTTTTATCTACTTTTAATTACTTTTATTTACTTTATTAGTGTAAATGTCTACAACAATTAGACCAAACATTACTTGAAAAGAAGATGTCTTTCTTAATCAATCTATACAAAACCATCATTATCAAATTTTATACTAGACCGTAAGATATACTTGATATCTTTGTTTTTTTATCCTATTATAAAAAATTAGTGTAACTTTAGACCTAATATTAACTAATTAAATTCACTAAGTATTTATTATAGTAAAAACATTTATCTCTATTGATCTACTTAATACCTTTGAAAGTAAAACAAATTAGAGATTTTTAAAATAAACTTAACACATTCTTTAATTAATATCCTAATTATAAAAACATTATTATTATATTTTAAAATTTTAAAATTTTGGCATACTTGTGCCTCTTATGTACAACAAAGTGATCATTGTTAATTATCTAGTTTTATAATTTTTTATCTTTATACTTGTGGATTAGATAAAAGTATTAGGTATTTATTTTATGATTAATTTATGCCAATCTTTACATTGGGGATTTTTAATCAATTCTAATAAAAAAAAGTTATGTCTTGAAAATTCTACAATCAATCTCTTTGCAACAATCTTTATCAAACTTGATTGTAACTTCTAAAACAACTAAATTTGTCATAAATTTTTAAATACAAAAATATAAAAATTTCTCAAAAAACTCAAAAGAACAAGATTAAAATATGTTTCATTGCAACACATTTAAAACTTAAAGTTTAAAGAAATAATAAATCTCTTTAAAATTATTTTTTAAAATATGAAGAATGTACATAAAATCCCATCTTTTAATCCTAAATTTTAATACTTGTAAATGGTCAGTGATTTTTTTTATTCTTTTATTTTTAATCAGCAATAATTTTAAAACAAGATATTATTTTTTAAAGAACTAGCATCACTTTTATTTTTATAAAACAAATTATTGCTATCAATTTATAGAAAAAAATGAATTTGAATTAGCATTGTAATTTTTTACAAATTGTCTTGCTTAAATTAAAGAATTTTATTTCAAAAATTCTAAGATTGTCCTATTCTACCAAGAGCTTAGAATTGGTGATCAATTTTCTTGAACAATTCTTATTTAAACCAATCTACAAAAAGCTTTTAGTAAGTTTTGGACTTTTAATAAACAATTATAAACTAGTTAAGGAATAATGGCCTCTTTTTATAAATATTAAATTTTGGACCTTTTTAATTTATTACAACAATATGGTTTGTCGAGAAAATGTAGAGTTGCATAAAAAAGACAATGAACATAATATGATTTTTAAAAGCTAAATATAATAGATTGTATTGTTCTAGAATACTATCCAGTATTTTAATTACAAAATTTTCATCTCATTTTGTTTCAACTAATAAATCAAAGCGAAAAAAAAAGAAAAAGAGGTTTAGAGGTCAGGAACCACACCTACCCATAGTTTAAGGATTTATCATTCTGACCTAACTTGGCACAGAACCACGCAATCGATCCACAGGATTGAAGTGGGCGCATGGTGCTCATTAACCCACCTGCGAGTTTTCTTTTCACACACATCAGAATTACGTTGCCGCTCGCGCCGCTTGGAAACCCAACGTCCAATAACCGCACAAGCTATTAGATGGATTTCCACAAGATGGGCCTTTTCTCTGGCAGTTTCACAGTCCCCTTGCAGTGAACCATCGTGATTCTTGGTATCGGTAATTAATTTCGCCAATTAATTGTGGCACCAGTTGATGATGTCGAACAACTGCAGATGCGGCGTGTGGTAGTTAGGCTGCTGTCAGGTTTCTTCCGCCCACTCAAGTGCTATATAATGAGAATGAGGAGCAGAGGAAAGTCTTGCATCACGTTTTTGACGTAGAGAAATGCTTCCTAAGACTGAAAAATCGCGACGCAGTGATTCAAGAATGTAGGGACAAGCGCGCGTGGGGTGCGTCGCGATGTTGGAGATAGAGGTGGAATTGCCTCAAGGAACCAAGACCATCGAGTGGAACAAGGCGCATCCCACATTTCAAGAGCTCAAGCAAAGATTGCGCCAGTGTGGAATCGGACTCTGTGGCGATGTTTGTGTAGAGGTTGAGCGGGGAGGTGGGTTCTTAATCCCTGATAACAATGGCCTACTGGACGGGCCCAAAATCCGTGCTCGAGCGTCCCAGATTGTGTGCACGACAACGACGAAGATAATGCCCAACCAACCTCCAAGAAAAGGTGATGGTCCCAAAACCATTACTAGTTCAATGTTAATTTCTGGTACATACAAAAAGTGAACCATTCAAAGGCTTGTGGAATAAGGAGGATCGATTGAACACTTAACCGCAAGAATTGATTGCACAGACTGTTCGACTGGCACTGAGAAGGTATCAAGAGCATACCATAACAGGTACGAGGAGCTGTTCGTAGAGGGAGTGATCCCCTTCGTGGGACGAGTGTTTGTACTATCGAAGAAGCACAAGAACATTAATCTTGAAGACTGTACGGGCACGGTCGCGCTGGTGGGGCCAAAGGGCGAGTCGATTGGAGCATTCCATTCCGTGAGAAAAGCATGGAAGCATCCAAGACACTATGATGTGTACATTCAGTACATGAACCACAACAAATATCCATGCTTCCCTGCCAAAGTCGTGGTCTACGACGACCAGTTCGACATTTTCATTGCATCGCCCCTTCCTCCGTTTCAGCTCCACTTCCCTAAATTCCTCCAACCAGCCAGCGGCATTGCAATGGGCGACACAGTACACTGCATAGGATTTCCAAAGCTCATGGTTGCACAGATGCGGGAACATACAAAGTCTAACATCACCGCTGCTCCGAAAGACAAGGAGTTTCCAGCAGTTTTCACGGGCAATGTCTGCTTCTCAGGGTGGAAGCAGGTGCTCGCGGACTACAGGTCATTACCGAACAACTCCGGAGCAGTGGTTGTGGACGACTGCGGCCATTTGAAAGGTATTCACGTATCCTCCTTAAATGCATCAAAATACGTTCCGGAACACACAGAGTTTCAAGATGACAAGGCCATGGCGGATCCAACAAAAACATTTTTCGATCAAGTGAACAGGTCCTTGCCACAACTTCTGTCAAGAGTGCAGCAAAGCACAGAGGCCGCAATATTCATCCCAGTAAATATCTTGATGAAGACGCTGGTTCCAGCAATACACCAAACCACAAGTCCTATTCTTTACAAAAGCACTCCAACGGTACTCACAGCAACGCATCCAGAGTAACTGTTTATGCATACCAAGTTCAGGAACCAAAAGCGTGTGATTACTTTACAGGCACGCCAAACAAACCTTTGCAAGCGTCCACTGGGGAGGGAGGAAAAAAAAAGAAAAAAAAAAGTCTAAAACGCTCTGCAATGTCTCTAATCACAAATGTACCATGAGTAAAACTTGTGCACCACTAGACAAAACGCTGTCAACAAACATAAACCGCTGGCATCCCTACCACATCAGTCAGCACAGTAGCTGTGCTGAGAAAAGGCCTAAAATCCACAGCACAGAACTGACATTCGCCGAAAATCCATAAGCAACCATCCGATACAAGGGACCGGCAAACAGTTATGATGCAAAATGGCTCAATTCTTAAGGTAAGATCTGTCAATCCCTATTTACACGGCAAAATCGTTCGGGCACGAGTGCATACTCTGCCGAGTGCGTCAAAAATGAAGGCTGCCTGAGCACACGAAAGAATTTACAATAAGGTCAAAAGCTTCATCAACAGGCACGTAAAAGCCTCAGAAAATGCTATAACCAATCATAAAATGCACCAGTAAAACTATGAAAACCACACACCGAAAATGAGAACCAGAAAAAACTGCAAACTCAGTACGCAAGATAAACGAGGGAGGCGCATTATCCCAGACCTGTTGACCTCCGTCAGAAAGAATTCACGTCCACCAAAGAAGCACCAAGAGAGTCGGGGCAGCTGTTATTTCAGGGTTTAAGGGCAATGAATCTAACGAACTCGGGCCTACACAAAGCAACTCTACCATCATGCGAAAAGCGCACTCGTCTCCTCTCTGCAGTTCCGTTCCCCCCGAACGGAATGCTCAACGCCCTCCCAACCATTCCACGGCCAAATCATTGGCCTTTCCTTCCTTCCTTCCACAGGACAGGTGTGAATGCCGACCTACCAGACCTAACTGTCCACCTAACAAATTCTCCTCCTCTCACTCCGCTGCACTGCCCTGCAGTGCATTCCAGTCAGACCACCCGACGGGACAAGAATCGGTGTCCTGCGCCATACAACTCCGTAACTTCTCTGCGCCTCACAACACTGCTGCGCGAACACCACCACCACCTGCCCATCTGCTCCGTCCAACCCCTTCCACCCACTTCCACGTTGACCCAGCCTCTGGCCTCAACCCCACCACAGCCCCATCCACGCTTCATGGCCCCGCTCCTCGCCTTATTCACACCCACTCCACCGCCCCCTGCACGTACTTGACCAAACTCAATCACCTCTCGGTAGCTTGCCACGGTCCCGGACGCTCAAAGAGCAAGGCAATCCTTCGCTTCCTACATGCTCCTCTAGCTTTTGCTCACACTCTCCGCCTGAGTTGGACCACTCCCGCTTCCCGCCCCTCCCACTCCTCCGTTCACACCCGATCCCGAGCTCACCCCGCCTCCCTCTGAATTGCTCCGCGATGTCACATCGTGACCAATCCCGTCTTCCGCGTACCCACCCGCCTCACCTGAACCCTGCTGCTCCAGAAGACCTTCTGAATACGCAGACGGTGCTAGGTTCATCGGCGATGACCCAATTGGATAAGTTGCCACTGGACCGTCAGCGAGCGACCCCGCCGACATACTGTAAGGAAAGCTTCCAACTAGTGGGTGGTCGAACTTGCACGTGGGCCCGAATTTGCATATGCCGTAGCGTGTGTAGAACGAGCAAGGCAGATTCCCCTGTTACCATCGCCAGACACCACACGATACCAGTCAATCTATCAATAACACTGCAAAAGACTCCTGCCAACCCACACACCCATTCCCCAATAAGCTCCCTACCCCGAATATCCAAACACTCCCCTCACTCATATGCTGGTACTTACAGGGCGAAGAGGAAGACCAATGGGGCTCAAATGGCACGTTGGTGAAGGAGTCGTACGATCCTTCGGATGATGATATCTACAAGTCGTCCCAAACTTGCAGTCCCCAGTTTTCATATAGTACTGGCACTCCGGTTGCCCAGGCCTCTCAGGAAACAGGCTTTCCTTCTGTGGACCCACGCTCTGCGTAGCCTGATGAGCGAGAAGACCCACCGCCGACGAACCTTGCACATACGGACCATACCCCGACACGTGCTCTCCCTGAGGGGCACCGCCGAAGACATAACCCTGCTGATGACTATCTGGTGGCCCGACAGGTCCCTGCAACATGCAACACCATGCCCAACAGATTCAGGACTCACACCCTCAAACAGTCAGAACGCACTCTGCTCCCCGTCCACCAGTACCCAAAGCCACTCGTGCGAGCGTCATTCTCCCTCATTCAAGCCGATTCAATCTTTATACACTCAACCTCTTCAGTCCACCAAGACATACAAACATAGACCGCCTAAACCTCCAATATAGGTATCTTCATATCTCCCAAAATGGTTATTCGACCTCATCATCCATCCCATTCAAGTAGATCAAAAACAAAGAAAAACCCGACCGATCACCCAACCAACCAAATCTCGACAAGTACTACCGACAACATTCAACCCCACTCACGGTCCGTTAACCGCCGACTGTCATCCCCGTAACCAAACCGCTACCAACTGGCCAGGTAACGAAACTCTCCATCCAAGTGCATGCTCCCCTCTTCCCACTCCACTTACTTGGTAGCTCCACCCTGGCATCGACATGATCCCTTGCTGCAGTGGCAGCATTGGACCGTAACTCGAATGTGTCTGCAGCCTTGGTAGCGGATACGGAGATCTTGCCAGTGGCCACGAAGGCAGCGCTCCCGCCGCATATCCCTGCGGAGCCGGAGACGATGGGCCCCCGCCACTCCCGAACGGCACTGGCACCATTCCCCCCACCGTCGCTGGCTGTGGATGATGGAATTTGCATGTCACTCCGTACTTGCAAGACCCCGTCCGCATGTAATACGCGCACTCCTTCTCCCCCTGCGCACCACCACCCCCACCAACCTCAATCACGCCACCACCCCCGTTTCCACTCCCTCCGCCCACAGTAACCCGCACAACCACTCACTCCCAAACCATCCAACACCACCCACCAGTCTCAGCGGAAGCCCCAGCACGTTCAAAAGCACTCGCCCTGTTGACCCCGCCTTCTCCCGAGGATGATGGTACTTGCACGTCGCTCCAAATTTACAAGTTCCCGTCTTCAGATAATACTGCACTCCCCCACCCCCGACACAACCCCAACTGTCAATCCTCCCGCCCGAAACTCCATCCTCTCTCCACCTCCCGCACCACATTCCCATCCTCCCCCTCTTCCGAACCCCAACCATCCCCTCCCCTTCCCCACTCCGCTCCCCAACCTACCCCATCCTATCAATCGCCCTTCTAACTCCCCCTCACCCTCATCCACACCTCCTTCCTCGGAAAACCGGCTTCTCCACAAAACATCCACTCGTCCTAAACGCCTTTACCAAACCTTCTTTGGCCTCCCCCTTTCCCTAACT